TTCTTGAATTAATTTCCCCATCTTTTTAGCACATTCCTAGCCTATTCGAACCTCAAAAACGTCCATCCATCTTTGCCCATGCATATGCTATCCATTCCAAGTCCAAAACTGCTCTAAAATGCTCCAAAATGCCCTTTCTTGCCAATCTTGCCATCTGGACCTACAATAGTACGAAAATAAGCTAAATCACTCTAATAAATGGGAATTAACTAAGTAAATGCAAAGAAATAAGATAGCAAAGTCGCATAAATATGCTCCTATCATTGGTGTATTCTGTAGTTTTAGCATTTGGATTTCACACAAAAATCACCAAATAACTCCTCCCACAACATTATGACCTTCCTCAATTTTTGAACTCAATCTGATATCGATTGGTCCAAGAAATTGGATAATTCAGGTTCGTACGAAGTTCATTTTGAAATAGACTGGCTGGTGTATTGCATAATTCTAGAGATTGCATTTCCCTCAAACCCCAAAAAATGACTCCTCCCACCATATTATGATGTTCCCCAAATTTTGGGGTCAATCTAATATGGATTAGTGCCAGAAATTGGACTATTCATGTTCGTACGAAGTTCATTCTCTAAGGAAGTGGCTGGGGAATTGCATAGTTCTAGAGACTGGATTTCACTCAAAACCCACCAAATGACTCCTCCCACAATACTATAATGTTCCCCCTGTTTCGGACTCAATCCAATTCCGATTGGTCCATGAAATCGGACTATTCAAGCTTGTACGAAGTTCGTTCTGAATTGGAGTCATTGGTGTATTGCGTAGTTTTAGAAATTGGATTTCACTCAAAACTCACCAAATGACTCTTCCCACCGTATTATGATGTTCCCGAAGTTTTGGACTCAATTCGATATGGATTGGTCCAAGAAACTGGACAATTTTGGTTCGTACAAAGTTCGTTCTGAAATGGAGTGGTTGGTGTATTGCATAGTCCTAGGGATTGGATTTCCCTCAAAACACACCAAATGACTCGTCCCACCATATTATGATGTTTCCCCAGTTTTGGACTCAATCCGATATTGATTGTTCCAAAAAATTTGACAATTTATTTTCGTACAAAGTTCGTTATGAAATGGAGTGGTTGGTGTATAGTACAGTTTTAGCAATTGGATTTCACTACAGACTCACGAAATCACTCCTCCCACAACATTATGACGTTCCCCAAGTTTTGGAGTCAACCTGATATCGATTGGTCCATGAAATTAGACAATTCGGGTTCGTACGAAGTTCGTTCTGAAATGAAGTGGTTGGTGTATTGCATAGTTCTAGAGATTGGATTTCCCTCAAAACCCACCAAATGACTCCTCCCACCATATTATGATGTTCCCCCTGTTTTGGACTCGATCCGATATCTATTGTTCTATGAAATTGGACAATTTAGGGTCATACAAAGTTTGTTATGAAATGGAGTGGTTGGTGTATTGCATAGTTTTAGTCATTGGATTTGACTCAAAACTCACCACAAGACTCCTCCCACCATATTATGATGTTCCCCAAGTTCTGGGGTCAATCCGATATCGATTGGTGCCAGAACTTGGACTATTCATGTTCGTACGAAGTTCGTTCTCTAATAAAGTGGTTGGTGTATTGCATAGTTTTAGCAATTGGATTTCACTGAAAACTCACCAAATGACTCCTCCCACAACATTATGATGTTCCCTAAGTTTTGAACACAATATGATATCGTTTGGTCCTTGAAATTGGACAATTTAAGTTCGTACGAAGTTCATTCTGAAACGGAGTGGTTGGTGTATTGCATAGTTCTAGAGATTTTATTTCACTCAAAACCCACCAAATGACTCCTCCCACTATACTGGGATGTTCCCCCTGTTTCGAACTGAATCTGGTATCGATTGGTCCATGAAATTGGACAATTCATATTCATACCAAGTTCATTCTGAAATGGAATCGTTGGTGTATTGCATAGTTTTAGACATTGTATTTCACTCAAAACTCACCAAATGACTCGTCCCACCATATTACGACGTTCCTAAGTTTTGGACTCAATCAGATATCAATTGGTCCAAGAAACTGGACAATTTTGGTTCGTACAAAGTTCGTTCTGAAAAGGAGTGGTTGGATTTCACTGAAAAATCACCACATCACTCCTCCCGCAACATTATGTTGTTCCCCAAGTTTTGGAGTCAATCCGATATCGATTGGTCCAAGAAATTGGACTATTCATGTTCGTACGAAATTCGTTCTCTAATGGAGTGGTTGGAGTATTCCATAGTTTCAGCAATTGGATTTGACTCAAAACTCACCAAATAACTCCTCCCACCATATTATGATATTCTCCAAGTTTTGGGCTCAATCCGATATCGATTCGTACTAGAAATTAGACTACTCATATTCGTACGAAGTTCGCTCTCTAATGGAGTGGTTGGTGTATTGCATAGTTTTAGCAATTGGAATTCAATCAAAACTCACCAAATGACTCCTCCCACCATATTGTGTTGTTCCCAAAGTTTTGGGCTCAATCCAATATCAATTAGTGCCAAAAATTGGACTATTCATGTTCGTACGAAGTTCGTTCTGAAATGGAGTGGTTGGTGTATTTCATATCTAGAGATTTGATTTCCCTCAAAACAAGCCAAATGACTCCTCCCACCATATTATGATGTTCACCTAGTTTTGGACTCAATCCGATATCGATTGGTTCAAAAAATAGACAATTTACATTCGTTAAAAGTTAGTTCTGAAATGGAGTGGTTGGAATATAGCACTGTTTTAGCAATTGGATTTCACTGAAAACTCACCAAACGACTGCTCCCACAACATTATGATGTTCCCCAAGTTTCGGACTCAATCCGATATCGATTGGTCCAAGAAATTGGACTATTCATGTTCGTTCGAAGTTCGTTCTTTAATGGAGTGGTTGGTGTATTCTATAGTTTTACCAATTGGATTTCACTCAAAACTCACCAAATAACTCCTCCCACAACATTATGATGTTCCCCAAGTTTTGGGCTCAATCCGATATCAATTGGTCCAAGAAATTGAAATATTCATGTTCGTACGAAGTTCGTTCTCTAATGGAGTGGTGGTGTATTCCATAGTTTTAGCAATTGAATTTCACTCAAAATTAACCAAATGACTCCTCCCACAACATTATGATGTTTCCCAATTTGTGGACACAATCCGATATCGATTGGTCCTTCAAATTCAACAATTCAGGTTTGTACAAAGTTCGTTCTGAAATGGAGTGGTTGGTGTATTGCATAGTTCCAGGAATTGGATTTCACTCAACACCCACCAAATTACTCCTCCCACCCAATTATGATGTTCCCCCAGTTTTGGACTCAATCCGATATCGATTAGTCCATGAAATCGGACAATTAATGTTTGTACGAAGTTCGTTCTGAAATAGAGTGGTTAGTATATTGCATAGTTCTAGAGATTGGATTTCCCTCAAAACCCCCCAAACGGCTCCTCCCACCATATTATGATGTTCCCCCTATTTTGGACTCAATTTGATATCTATTGGTCTATGAAATCGGACAACTTAGGTTCGTACAAAGTTCGTTCTGAAATGGAGTGGTTGGCGTATTGCGTAGTTTTAGCCATTGGATTTAATTCAAAATTCACCAAAAGACTCCTCCCACCATATTATGATGTTCCCCAGGTTTTGGTGTATTGCATAGTTTTAGACATTGGATTTCACTCAAAACTCACCAAATGACTCGTCCCACCATATTATGTTGTTCCCGAAATTTTGGACTCAGTCCGATATCGATTGGTCCAAGAAACTGGACAATTCTGGTTCATGCAAAGTTCGTTCTAAAATGGAGTGGTTGGTGTAGTGCATTGTTCTAGAGATTGGATTTCCCTCGAATAACACTAAATGACTCCTCCCACCATATTATGATGTTTCCCCAGTTTTAGACTCAATCCGATATCAATTGGTCCAAAAAATTAGACAATTTACATTCGTACAAAGTTCGTTCAGAAATGGAGTCATTGGTGTATAGCACAGTTTTAGCAATTGGATTTCACTAAAAACTCATCAAATCACTCGTCCCACAACATTACGATGTTCCCCAAGTTTTGGACTCAATCCGATATCGATTGGTCCAAGAAATTGGACTATTCATGTTCATACGAAGTTCGTTCTCTAATGGAGTGGTTGATGTATTTCAACCGTTGTAATTGAAGCCTTAAAAAAAAAAAAAAAAAACGGAGTGAACAGTGATTCAATATTTTTTCTTGAGCCTCGATAGTTCTCTCTTCTATCTCTTGTCTCTGGCGTCTATCTCTCTCCACAGTCCGTTCTTCCCACCATTGCCTTCACCATACCCATAGATAGAGAGACTCTGTCTCTCGCATCTCCCTCTCTCCACGCTCTCTCTCTCCCCTCCCTCTCCCGTCTCTTTCTTTCTCCTCCCTTCTTCTAGTTCAGAGGGATTTGGGTTTTAATTTTAGGGTTACTGATTTGGGTTTTATCTAACCATTTGGGTGTTGGATTGTGGTTGCTCTACCTCGATCAACAAAGGTAAAGAAAAAAAAAATTAGAGTTTCAATTTGTTTCGACACTGTTGTGATTTGGGTGTTAACCATCTCTCTTTGTTTTCTCTGCAGGTGCTTAGCTTTTTCATCTCTCTTGCCTTCTACGGATGTTGCACTCACTCTGAAGCTTTGATAGGTAAGAAATCTTGAGTGCTTTTCTTTCATAAGAACTATGCCCAGCTCCCTTTCTCAGTCCCCTTTCTTTCAGATAATCTCAGTTGAGTCTTGCTAATGTTGTAGCTATTTCATATGTGTATTTTAATTTCATTTGAGATCTGTCTGTCTTTTTTTAAAATTTTGGGTTCTCTTTCTTGATCCATGGTATGTCTCAAATTGTCTTTGTTTTCTCTGTTCATGTTTCTCTTGTTTATATCTAGCTTGTTAGAAATGCATAAGATAAGTGAACCATATTTCTGGGATTACTGTCATGGCTCTGTTCTGTATGGCAGAGGTTCCATGGACTTCTCTAAATTGTGCAAGGTCTAGACCTGAGCTAGCTTCTAAATATCTACTTTTTCTCTTAAACTTGAGCTAGTTTTTGTCGTACATACCACATGGTGCCATTACAAAGTAAAATGCAGATGTAAAGTTATACTTTTTGTTTTTAGTTTATACATCATCAACATCGCGCATTTGGAGTTTCTCATCCATAGTTTTAGCTATTCTAATGATATTTTTGCAAACACGTTATTGTGAATGCAGTTACTATCTTGCTAAGAAGAAAATTCCTTCTATCCATGGAAATACAATGGGAGTAAAACTACAGCAGTTCATATTTGATGCGTTTCCATACGCACATTCAACTGCACTTTTTGAGGTGACTTCATTTCCCCCACTCCTTTCTTTGTTTTTTTTTTTCCCATTAATCTATAATTTACTGTTAAGTTTTCAGACTGACCTGGGCTTCCTAAACCACAAAATTTACAACCCAAAAAATAATACATTCTTAATTTCCTTGCCTCCCTCTCTAATAATCTCCATAAGATTTACAGTTTACTATTGTTGGTACTTTTGCAGAGATTGTGTGTGTAGTTTTTAGCCTAAAAATACAAACCAAAAAGTGGAGTGGCTGCAGAGATAGTTGTTTCCCGAGCCACGCTGCTCGTGTTTATTGATTTGCTCCTCATGCGCCTTCAAACCTTTAATTTGAGTTAAGAGTTGAGATCTTCAGCCTTCCTTTGGACTTGGCCTCCAAAACTGAAAGTATTTGCAGCCTTGGAGTTGAGAGTTGATATCACTCTTGCTTTGCATTCAAATAGAGGTATAGTCTTCAAACCTTGAATTCAGTTTTGGTCTCTTTTTCTGCATTTGAATATTTGTGCCATTTCTGGATTTTTTGTATGATGTTTTCTGCAATATTGATAAAACCAAATAAAAATATAGTTTGGTGGTTATTGAAAACACCAAATAAAAGGCCTGTATTGTATATACAAATATTGCGTCCTCTTTTCTTTTGTCTCCCTCCCCCTATGGCCCATTGGTTATATTTCCAAATGTACATAAACATTATAATCTGCTCAAATACAAAAAAGAGATATAGTAGTCTCAAGATTGCTTGATACAGTGTAGTATTTTAATATATTAACATGGCAATGGCATGTTAGAAGTGCGCATGATATGATAGTTTTGTCTCTGGGACTGAGTATTGCATATTGATTCTTTTATTAAGTAACTAAATATGCATCACTTACTTTAGGTTAACTGTATTTAGTTTTAATACTAGTGATTAAGTACTCTATTGTGAATGACATACATCAGTTTGTGATTTTTGTACTTGTAAGATGGATAAGTCATGGATGTATGCCGATAGAAGGTCACGAGAGTATGAGGTGGGAGTTGAAGGATTTTTGAAGTTTGCCATGGAGAACTCAAGAAATGTGAATCTAATTCATTGCCCTTGCATAAATTGTGGAAACATTTTACAATATGGTATTGCAGTTATAAGGGATCATATGTATATTAATGGTGTTGATACAAGTTATCAATCTTGGATATGGCACAGAGAGCCTTATGTGTCAATTGCAAATGCAAATGAACCTTTTCCAAGTACTAACGAACAAGGCTATGTATCTAAAATAGTAGATATGGAAGATACTGATTTTGGGGATTCATTAAACGATCCCTATGAGTTTCTTAATGTCCTTGGGGATGTGACAAGCCCTTGTTCCCTGGTTCTAACGTCACCAAGTTAACTGCACTAGTTAGATTATATAATTTGAAGCAAAACACGGGTTGAGTGATTGTGGTTTCACTGATCTTTTGATTTGTTTCGGTTAAATTCTGCAAGGTCACCATTTACCTTCCTCCATGTATGAAGAAAAGAAGACTTTACATGCCTTCGGAATGGATTATGAGAAAATACATGCTTGTCCTAATGATTGTGTCTTGTATAAAAAAGACTATGATGAGTCAACTAATTGCCCAAGAGCCTAGAAACATTAGACTTGCCCTTTCTGCTGATGGGATCAATCCTCATAGTTCTCTAAGTAGTAGATACAACTGTTGGCCGGTTATAATGGTTATATACAATCTTCCACCTTGGTTATGTATGAAAAGGAAGTTCATGATGTTGACGTTGTTGATCTCTGGTCCTAAACAACCCGGTAATGGTATAGATGTTTACTTGGCACCATTGATTGAAGAATTAAAGTCGTTGTGGTATGGAGTACCGGGAGTGTATGATGCTTTCATAGGAGAGTACTTCACACTAAAAGCCGTTTTATTATGGACAATCAATGATTTTCCTGCATATGGGAATTTATCTGGATGCATTGTGAAAGGTTATAAAGCATGCCCAATTTGTGATGATGACACACCTAGTCATAGGTTGGTACATGGTAATAAAGTTTGTTACATTGGTCATAGAAGATTCTTGCCACATGATCATTCATTTCGGAAGCAGCGAGCATCATTTAATGGGGAACAAGAATTTAGACCACCTCCTGTGCCACTAAATGGAGAGGGTGTACTCAGAAAGGTTGAAGAAATAAATTATGAATGGGACAAGGTGAAGAGTGCTCATAAGGTTGTCAATGACGGTGATAATAGACCTTGTTGGAAGAAGATGTCAATCTTCTTTGAACTAGAGTATTAGAAATTTCTTCCGGTTAGACATTGTCTTTGATGTTATGCATATTGAAAAAAAATGTTTGTGATAACATTATTGGAGATTCCAGGAAAAAATAAAAATGGCATTGCAGCTCGGTTAGATATCTTAGAAATGGGAGTGAAGTCTGATTTAGGATCAGAGTATGGGGAAAAAAGAACACGCTTGCCTCCAAGTACTTGGAATTTATCTAAGGCGGAGAAGAGAATTGTATGTAAATATTTTTATGGCATGAAAACCCCAGAAAGTTATGCTTCAAATGTTAAAAGTCTTGTGTCGATGCAAGATCTTAAACTTTATGGCCTTAAGTCACATGATTGTCATACCCTAATGCAACAATTACTCCTTATTGCCATACGATCGGTGTTGGAAAAACCTGTGAGATATGCAATTATTAGATTGTGTTTATTCTTTAATGATACATGCAACAAAGTCATCGATGTTTCAAGACTGGATAAAATACATGATGATGTTGTGGTAACGTTGTGTTTGCTTGAAAAGTATTTTCCACCATCATTTTTTGATGTCATGATTCATCTAGTCGTCCACCTTGTTAGAGAAATTCAGGTATGTGGGCCAGCTTTATTTAGGTGGATGTATCCATTTGAAAGATTCATGAAAGTGTTAAAAGGGTATGTACGTAATCGGAATCGTCCAGAGGGTTGCATAGCTCAATGTTATATTGGTGAAGAAGCTTCAGAATTTTGCTCAGATTTTTTATCAAATGTTAGCACAATAGGAATCATGTCGAGAAAAAATATGGGACGTACACAACCTTTATCTGGTGCTGATGTGCAATTTGTTGATCGTGATTTATTAGACCAAGCACATCTTTGTGTGTTAGAAAACAGAAATGAAGTTCAACCTTACATCAGGTAAATTAAATGGTTGTCACTAAGTGAGTTAAAATTTCTTTTACACTATTATGTCACTTAAGTATAATTATTTTATACTTCATGTAGTGAACATATGGAACATTTGAGGAATACTCATCCGAAATACAAAAAGAGAACAAAATGGCTACAAGATAAGCACAATCGTACATTCATTGGATGGTTGTGCAATCGGGTAGTTACTCAAAACTAAAGTACTTTTTTGTTCAACTTTGTTACTTTTTTATTGTTGCTTAAGTGTACTATGTTTTCAGGTTGGATATGAAATAAATCATGGGTCCAATGAGGTAATGGAGAGCTTGAGGTGGCTAGTGGATGGACCGTGTATGCAAGTACCAAAGTACCAAAGCTATATCGTTAATGGGGTTCACTTTGACACTAAGTCACGTGATGAAATGAGAGTTGTCCAAAATAGTGGAGTGCACCTAGTGGCAAAAACGACACAGGTGTCCAGTGCAAAAGACAAAAATCATATTGTGTTAGACATGAGTTTCTATGGGGTCATTAAGGAAATATGGGAGCTCGACTATCATAAATTTAAAATACCTATATTCAAGTGTGATTGGGTTGAAAACAATAATGGCATCAAAATAGAAGAACTTGGATTTATTCTAGCCAATCTTGGTAGGGTAGGTTATAAAAATGACCAATTTGTTTTGGCTGGTCTAGTCAAACAAATCTTTTATATAGAATCTAAAGGGTCAGTTGTGCTATCTACCCCAAATAGGGATTCTAATGATTATGACAGTGATAATGTTCTAGGGGATATTGTAATTGACCACGAACCCTTTACAAGAGGCTGATGTAGTTGACGAGAATTGAACACAATACATGAGAGATGATTGTGAGGATATTTGGATTGATAAAGAATAGGAAAATGTATCACATTAATTTCTGTTAATGTATGACATTATGTTATTTAATAAAGAAATTTGAAGGCTTGTATGCTTTATTATACACTATATGGTTTATTTATCATACGATTAACCTAAGAAGCACGACATGGGGATACGGTAAATTTCAAAAAAACTAGGATATGATATGTCATAGATACGGTTTTTTTTTTAAAAAAAAAAAAAAAAAAATTAAAAAAGGGGGACTGCTGGTGGCAA